TATTTTACTTGATTTGAGGTATGATTGTATAAATTTTTTCCTTAACTTTTTCTTGCTTTTTTGTCTTGAACCGTGAAGTTTTTAAGTATCTTCCCAATAATCTCTCAACAATCAACTGTAGTACTTTGCTTAAGAGTTCTTACAGTTATCAAACTATATTTTGGATAGAAATGACTGATGTGGATTGTTGTCAATGATAATGCAAGTTCTACTGACTCAACTTTTGAGCTTCTAAAAGGGAGGACGTGTGCATACATTCGTAGGGCATAAAAGTTCGTTTTCTTGCATTTCTACGTGACTTTCTTTTGTATATATTTTACTGCATATGATAGTTTCCATTTAAAATGTTATAATTTATATTTTTTCTTAGTAATTGTTTGTGGAGGGCGATAGAAATATGGTTTGGTCTTTCCTATAAATGGTCTATTGGTCATCATTTAAAGGTATATGACTCCTATGTTGTCAATTCTTTTTTTTGAATTTTTTTGTTTCTTAAAATTTTTATGCCATTTAACTATTGTGTAACAATTTTAGATATTCCCTAATGATTGCAGTACATTTAGACAATAGAGTAGAGGCTAACTTGTTGAACTTTGGGAGAGGCTTATAAGGCAGCAATCTAAGCAGTTATGAAATTACTCTTAGGCGAGCTTTTTACAGGTGATCGTTATTTTGCTTGATTTGAGGTATGATTCTGTAAACTTTTTTTGTACTTCTCTTCTCTTTTTTGTCTTGAAACTTAAACTAATTAAGTATCTTCCCTATGATCTCTCGACGATCAACTTAAGTACTTTGCTTAAGATTTGTTAAAGTTATCAAACTATACTTTAACTATAAATGATTAATCTTGATTGTTGTCAAATGATAATGCAAGTTACAGTGACAATTTTAGAGCTTTGGTAAGGAGGGATATGTGTGCATACCTTCATAGGGCATACTGGTTTGTTTTCTTGCTTGTCTACGTGACTATTTCCTTTACATATATTTTATTGCGTATGATTGTTTTTTTTTTAAAACTTGCGAGTTATAGTTTTCCTTAATAATTGTTTGTGGGGAGGGGGGAGGTATGTGACCTTTTGTTGCCAATTAGTTCCTTACAGTTTTTGTTCCGTCAAATTTTCATGTAGTACATTTAGACAGTGGAGCAGACACCAACTTGTTGAACTTTGGCAGGCTTACAAGGCAACAATCTATGTAGTGATTAAGTTACCTTTAGACGAGTTTTTTACAAGTGAACATTATTTTGTTTGATTTAAGGTTATGATTGTGTTAGCTTTTTCCTTTTATTTTTTGTCTTGAACCTTGAAGTTCTTAAGTATCTTTCCTATGATGTCAACGATCAACTTAAATCCATTGCTTAAGATTTCTAACAGTTATCAAAATATGCTTTGGATAGGGATAACTGATGTATATTGTTGTCAATTGTAATTCTAGTTCTTATGACAACTTTAGAGTTTTGGAAAAGGGAGAACATGTGTGCATACCTTTGTAGGGCATACAGATTTGTTTTTTTTCATGTCTACGTGACCATTTCTTTAGCATGTATTTTAGTGCATATAATAGTTTATATTTAAAATGATTATGATTTATATTTTTTCTTATTAATTGTTTGATTGTTTATGTGTGGGGGAGGGGTTTGATAGAAATATGGTTAGGCTTTTCCCATAACTAGTAGGTCATCATCTATAGTATATGACTCCTCTGTTACCAATTACTTCCTTATAATTTTTTGGTCTGTAAAATTTTTATGTCATTTAACTGTTGTGGCACGAGGTTAGATATTTCCTATTGATTGCAGTATATTAAGAGACCAACAGGTAGAACTTTGGGAGGTTTATAAGGCAGTAATCTACCAGCTACGAAGTTACTTTCAGGCAAACTTTTGTAAGTGAACATTATTTTGCTTGATTTGAGGTATGTTTGTGTAAGTTTTTTTCCTTCTATTTTTTGTCTTGAAATTTGGGAGGTTCATAAAATAGCAATACAAGTGGTTGCTTGTGGAAGGTGTAGATTTTTTTAGGTATTGTATGGTATTGATTTTGTTAGCGTTTTTTTTTCTCGTTTCGTAAAGTTCTTAATTATCATCCTCGATCTACATCCTTTACTTAAAATTTCTTGCAATTATGGACCTATAAAGATACTGATGTTTAAACCATGGTTATAACAATTCACTAAAACCTTAACGACTCATGATCTGGGTACATTGGTCCGAAACAAGGTGGGTTGGTGATCCATATCACCATAATGGACGACCCCAAATTATATTACTAACTCTAAATCAATTAGTTTTAGAACATGTAGTACAAATATAAAATATATATTAATTGATTACATTTATATAGATTTATAATTATTTATTTTTTTAGATAATAAAAAATCAAGCATAACTATAAGATAAATGGTAACTAAGTGTTTTTGAACATTATGTAATATAAAATGTTATATAGCAGTGAAAACGATCTATATAAGAAGTCCAAAATGAATTGCGACCTAAAATATTGTACAAGTTAAACTTACCTCCATCGTACCGTGTACCTAAGAAAGTGTCGTACTATATACTCATACCTAGGTAACATTGGTTTAAACTTGATGGTCCTAAATCATGTTGCTTTGGATACGAATGAACTATGATAGATTTTGTTTGTGGTAATCCAGGTTCAAGTGATACAACTCTACACACACTTTTGAAGAGTTCACTGGTCAGCTTCTTGCATGTCTGCTTGACTATTTCTTTTGAATATCTTTGAGTAGATGTTCTAGTTTTCATTTTTAAATATTAATAATATGTTTTTATTAATAATTGTGGTGGTTGTTTGAAAATTTTCACTGGTAGTAAAAAATTTGATTTAATTATCGTATTCTAGATGATCTTTAAATTTACTAGTTATAAAAAAAGGACACACTAGTTTTCAGACTCTAATTGACTAGGGCACAAAAATTGACGTGTGTTAGTGACATCTTGCACCACGACACCCCATGAATTCAAAGTAATGCTATGTACCTAAGGTGTTCAACAAAATTCCAAGCGCTATGCCCTAGACTCTCGTTTTGTTTCATCGATTCAGAAGATGTCCAGTCAAGTCATTTTGGAAAACCTCCATAAAGCATATATAGGGGGTGGTGATAGTTGAGGGGCACCAATGGTTTGGCTAGCCTTGTCCCCCCCCCCCCCCCCCAAAAAGCCTTGGCACCGTTGGGCAAAACATAAGTATGTCTGTATTTCTATGGTGTATTAGTGTATGGGTATGTTTATTAGTGTGTGAATAGAACGTATGTTTGGGGGTGTTTCTTTTTTGTATATTAGTGTGTATCTGTTAGTTTTTGTTTCTATATTAGTGTGTTTTATTGTGTTTAGTAGTTTGGTGCAGGAGTATGTGTTTTTTTGGCATACTAGTGTGTATTAACGCGGTGTATATGAATGTATATACTAATTATCTGGGATGTATGTATGTTTTTTAACGTATTAGTGTGTGTGTGTGTCCATTTGTGTTCATGTAATAGCGTGTGTTATTGTGTATTAGTGTCCGTGTTTGTGATGGATTAGCTTGTGTTAACACTACATGTGATAGAATATATACATTTTTGTGAATATGTGTGTCTAATTGTATTAATGTGTGTATTTTTGGGTGTATTAGTGTGTGTGTGTGTATTTTGGATGGTATATTAGTGGGTGTGTGTGTTGTGTAATAGTGTGATTGTGCGTTTTGGTATGTTGGTGTCGGTATTTTTTTACTGTATTAGTGTTTGTTAACATAGCGTGTGGGTGTGTATGTATTAGTGTGTGTATGTGTGTTGGTTTTAGTGATGGTGTGTGCATCCATGCATTTGTTTGTGTGCGTGCTTTTGGTGTGCTAGTGTGCATATTTTTTTGGTGTATTAGTGTGTTTAACAATGTATATTTTGGTGTATTAGTATGTTTGTTTATGTTTTAATGTACTAGTTTGCATGTTTTTGTGTAATACTGTTGTGTATATGTGTTTTTGTGTAAGAGTAGTTGTAATGGGAAGACCAACTAACTTTAATTACTCTGTTGCCTATTACTTGGTTACAATATTTTATTTCTTAAATTTTTGTGCTATGACTCGATGCATAACGCGGTGTATATGAATGTATATACTAATTATCTGGGATGTATGTATGTTTTTTAACGTATTAGTGTGTGTGTGTGTCCATTTGTGTTCATGTAATAGCGTGTGTTATTGTGTATTAGTGTCCGTGTTTGTGATGGATTAGCTTGTGTTAACACTACATGTGATAGAATATATACATTTTTGTGAATATGTGTGTCTAATTGTATTAATGTGTGTATTTTTGGGTGTATTAGTGTGTGTGTGTGTATTTTGGATGGTATATTAGTGGGTGTGTGTGTTGTGTAATAGTGTGATTGTGCGTTTTGGTATGTTGGTGTCGGTATTTTTTTACTGTATTAGTGTTTGTTAACATAGCGTGTGGGTGTGTATGTATTAGTGTGTGTATGTGTGTTGGTTTTAGTGATGGTGTGTGCATCCATGCATTTGTTTGTGTGCGTGCTTTTGGTGTGCTAGTGTGCATATTTTTTTGGTGTATTAGTGTGTTTAACAATGTATATTTTGGTGTATTAGTATGTTTGTTTATGTTTTAATGTACTAGTTTGCATGTTTTTGTGTAATACTGTTGTGTATATGTGTTTTTGTGTAAGAGTAGTTGTAATGGGAAAGACCAACTAACTTTAATTACTCTGTTGCCTATTACTTGGTTACAATATTTTATTTCTTAAATTTTTGTGCTATGACTCGATGCATAATGTTGCCTATTGAGTGTAGTATCTTAAAACAGTGAAGGAAAGGTCAACCTATTGAAATTTGGCAGGCTCATAAAGCAGCAATCTATGCAATTATAGATTTATTTTCAAGTGAGCATGGGACATGACAGGTATAGATTTTTGCTTGAGTTTTGACGATTCTGAATCTAAAATCCACCAAAAAAACCAAGAAAAATTTGTTAAGAGAAATGGAGAAATAATGTGTGTGGTCCTACCAACCTCTCAAACCCACAGTTTTATAGAGAAGACCAATCTGAAGTTGTTAAATCTTTTGCAATTTCATAGCAGAAAATTGCATGTTAAGCCTTCAAAGATAAAAAAAAATAGTGATTAAACTGCTTAAATGTACCTCTGGAGGCATTGAAATGATCTCTTGCAGTGCAGAATGGTGCTTTGGATTCCAGTCTGTTGCTGTAATAACGAATTGTCGTGTCGTTTTCAACGAAATTGGCCCCGATGGAGCAGCTGCTACCGCTGATGAAGATGATCGGCTCTTTCCTAAATGCTTACGCACCACCCGAAGCCCTGTAGGCAAGTTTCCCGATGTGCCTTTCGGTGGAGGACCTAGGATGTATATCCAATTTTTTTGGGTACGTGGATATACATCTTTGTACTTTATCTTCCTATCTTGAATTTTTATCTTCCTACTTATGGTATTATTATTAATTATTCGTTGAGAAAGCCGCTTTGGACACATCTCACACATCCTTGCGAGTAAATTTTGAATATTTGCAAACTTAGATACATGTTCAAGCACTTTATTTTCAAATTGTATTCTGTAGTTTAGCTCAATTCAATCAAGCTCGTATATCCTAACAATACATGCTCAGTAACACTTGAAATTTGAAGAGTTAAATTTTTAAGTAAACTACACATATATCCCTCAAATTATGACCCTTATGTTAATTAGGTCCGTCAACTTTTTTTTTATGGCAATTGAGTCATTTAACTCTCTAATTGTTCTAATTAAGCTTTTATGTCTGCCTCTGTTAGATTTTTTAACAGAAAGTGGCGAAGTGTGCTACTAACGTGACACAAATGGTTGGAGTAAACTATACATATGTAGCCCTCAAATTGTGTAAGTTATTACCAAAATAATGCACTTTTAAAACAAAAATACCATTATAACGCACTTTTAAACTTATTTATTGATTTATGGCCGTTTTTAAAAGTTGAATTGTTGATTCTGTTTTTAAAAATTGTAGTAGATTGGTAAATAGTTTAAAAGTGAGGTAGATCGGTATATTTGTTTGAAAAGTGTTGTATTTTAGTAAATAAATTCTTAAACTATAACCCTTGTGTCAATTAACTCCCTAAATTTTTATTTTTTTTTCTGTTAATTGAGATTTTATATTTTTGTGTCATAGTCACATGAGTGACATATTCTAACAGAGGTAGATAAAAGGATTTAATTAACCTACTTAGAAAGTTCAAAAATTTAATTGACACAAAAAAAATTAGGGATTTAATTGACATAATCATAGTTTGAAGACTATATGTGCAGTTTACTCTTGATTTTTTATACCTAATGGTAAGTATAGTATTTATCCGAGCAATATACTCAGATTTGAATACTAAATAATCTGAAAAATTTTATCCGAACTTAGAGCGAACCAAAGTCCAAACCAGTTGGATTCAACATCTCTGCTTTCACTTGAAAAATTCATACACCCCTCAAAATTAATAAGGCATAGTTAACGACGCAACACAATCTTTTGATCCTCTCCCACATGGATCCTGGATTTTATGACAGTGTTGTAGCCGTCTCTGCCTCTGACAAGCCAATGCCTTCTGCAGTACAATAATGGTGGCTCACTTCTTAATATCCCAACAGTTTCGGTTCCATACCTCTACTGTAATTTCATTGTTATATCATTGTTCAAACTATAATACCGCAAAATTAATTGTTTCTCGATACCATATTTCCTATTTTCTACTAATGAGAGTATGACCCATTTAAAGTATTCAATGTTTTATTATTTCCAAGATCAATAACACAAAATCTAAGCTTAACATCCAGTTTTTGGCAGTCTTACCCCTCAGTTCCTTTCCGTGTCAGAAAAATCCATCTTCTTTCATAAAAAAAAAATGAAAGCTTGTAAGATCTTCGTTCAGTGGATCTACAATGAATCTACTTGGGAGAAGGCATTGAGATTCTGTCAGAGTCTGAACTAAGCAAAAAATCATGGCATATATATATATTCTGAAAACAGCAAGTCAATCATAACCTTGGAGGAAGAGTTGACGGGTGTCCATAATGCTTTGTTGAATCTTGATGATATGCTTTCAAAAAGTGCATGAACCATCACACACTTTTCTCCTGTCTGTGGGCACGGGATGGGAAACCATTCTTCTCTTGTGGAGAGGCTTTGGATGGGGGATTTATGTCCGTTGTTACACTAACGGACATGGCTACAGTACATCTAAGGGCATTTTCGGTATGTATAAAAAATTTGACGGTTACAAATTGAAAAAAATTCTACAAAATGACGTAGAAATGGACACGTGTAAAGGAAAAACAAGGCAACTGGAATGACCTGTTGCCATTTATACTGTACAATAATGATAGATGAAGGATGTACCATATCAATGAGTGAGTTATAAAGTTTATGGAATATTTATAATATTACTTGCAATATTTACAACAATAATGGATCTAATAACAAAGATAATGGTTATTCTTACAAAGTCGGTGGAACTAAGTACAAGGTTAATGGTATATTTACGACATCAGTAAGAAATACAAAAAATTAATGGGATAAGTACAAAATTAAAGATATATTTACAATAAAAGTAGAAAAATTTACGAGTCATATTCAACGTAATGGATGATCGATCAATGTAGTATATGATCGATCATAAAATATTGATCGATCGAATAAATGTATAATCGATCATTATGTGGAAAGGTGTTGTGTAAGAAAATGAAATTTTGAAAATAAATAAATATATATATAATTTGACCGATCACGAATATGATGATCGATCATAGTGCCTCAATAAGGTATTTTTGTAAAATCATTGCGATGTTAACGATATTAGTAGGTAAAAATACAAAATTAATGGTATAATTACAACAAAAGTGATAAATTTTGAAATTCAGTGAAACTAACTACAAATTTAATGGAGTATTTAGTGCTTCAGTAAGAAATGTACAATAGTAATTGGGTAATTGGGATAAGTACTGATGGTGCTCGAAATTTAAGGCCCAAGCACAACTATGATAGTGCGATGTTCTGAACAGGTTTTGTAGACTATGAATTAATCTATCACGAACAGTTAGGCAAAGAATGTAAGTGGTTCACCTTAACCGATAGACTAAGGCTACGTCCACTATTAATGAAGTCTCTTGCTCCTTGTTGTTGTGTATTCAGTTTCTGTTGAAAACAGTCGAGTTATAGGCTCTGGACCGTTTATAGGGAGTGGGGGTTTGTTCACAGAGTTTGTATCTCATTAGGAGAAGTCTCTCTTTTCTCTGGTAAGGCACTGTTCTTTATATACGGGTCCTCTCTATTAGGGTTTCTTGTGGTATCTTCTACCTTTTCGTAGATCCTGTGGGGACCTCCTATCCTTGTCCTGCAAAAGCCTTTCTCCACCGTTGTCCCAGTATCCACGATCTCTGGGACCATAAGCTCCACCATCCTCTGTGTTCGGGAATACGCAGCTACCGCATGTTTCAGAGATAGTCCTCTTGTCCCTTGGTCGCGTGGCATGGCAGGGTTGTTTAGGGACGAATGGTCCGTTTCTTTCTTAGGCTATCATTAGGTTGGCACTTGACTGGGCTTGGGCTGAGCCATTGTCTTTCTGATCCCCACTGGATTTTCCTCTACTGGGCTAATCTAGGATATTCTTTTTGGGCTGTGGGATTCTTTGGTCTGTAATCGTGGCGGCCTATGCTCAAAATTCCACTCTCATCAGTTGCCCCCTAGCCCTTGGTCATAAGGATGACATCACCTCAGACCTGGGGTTAAAGATATTATTCCTATGTGGAGGGTGTGTCCGGTAGTTGGTCTAGACATGATTTGGGCTGTGCTAGAATCCGTCGTTTATAATGGCTTGGGTACGTGTCGTTTGTGGGAGAGCCAACATGTGCAGGTTCCTTGGCTTGTCCTATCGCCTGTCAGTTGTGGCCTTTGATGCTGTGCATATAAAAAAAGGGGGGGGGACTCCTCCCCCTCCCCACTTTACATCCCTCTTTTTCCGAAAAACCCTATTTCTGTTTACGTTCTATTTCCTTCAGTATTCGAGACGTCGTCTTCCTGGCTCTTCGGCAACTTAGGGCTTCTACACTTCCAGTTTTCCTTGCTTCTAGCGTCTTCACTAGGTACGTTTCTCTTCCCTTCTTCTTTTTTCCTATTCAACCTAGATCCCTTTGATCCTCCTTGGTGGGGTTTCGGTTTTCGCTTCCTGGTCTGGAGGTTTAGTTATTTTAGGAGTCGTTCCAACAACTGCACTTTTTTTCCGCGATTTGTGGACCCTTCCAGCACAGCTAGGATATCCTTTCTTAGGGACTGGTGTTTGAGGCCTTTATTTTTTATGGACTGTGCCTTACATTTGCCCTCTCTGCATTCTAACTTGTTAGTGGAGACTGTGATGGGGAGACTCTTCGTTACTTCTTCTGGGTCAGATTCTGATGGTCAGGCCAGCGAGGAAGTTAGTACCTCGGGTTCCTCCAAGGATCCTTCCCATATCGCCGGTGAGGCGGCCTCTGAGTCTGCCCTTGGGGTTTCCTCCTCATTTCCCCCATTGACGCTTATCCTCTTTCGTCTCTGGCTCCTGCTGCCCCTACTCAATCGAGGGAGGGGAGGCCCAAGTCGGCTCCATCTTCTACTTCTAGGGGGAAATTTAGCCGGGATCAATCCGACCTAACCTGTTGTGCCGATCAGACCTCCAGTTGCCTTAAGGACAACGACTTAGAAGAACTGAGGCGGTATTATCATTTTTCCGACTTCGTGGAGTTGCACTCGCCCAAGAAACATGAGAGGTGCAATTCTTCTCTTCCCGGGCTGACCTGCTTCTTCAAGTCAACGATCCAGGCCGGTCTTCGATTCTCTGTTCATCATTTCATCTGGAATGTCCTCGATTTTTACAACGTTTGTCCCGCCCGACTTTCTCCCAATGGTTGGGGTTTTCTTGTCAGTTTTCTCATCCATTGGTTCAAGAGTGGGAACGACTCTTCCCCCACTATTCGAGAAGTTGCCTCCCTCTTTCAATTGAATTTTTCTCCTTCACTGGGATTTTTTGTACTTTGCTAAGAGGGTGAAGGCGAAATCTCTAATTTCTGGCTTCCTTCTTCTAACAAGGGGTGGAAACCAAAGTTTTTTTTTGTTAGGAAAGATTCCTGGGAGTTGTCGGGGGAGTTTGGCGACGTTCCTCATATCCCCCGGGTCTGGGGGGGTCCAAAGGAACACGTGTAAGGCTGATCTTGTCGTATGCTTTCCTTCTTTGCTCTTATTCTGCTATTTGAACTAACCTTCTGGCCTGGTTTGCAGATTTCTACCCAAAGCTTAACGCGGAGAAGGCCGTCCGAGTCGCCAAGGCGGAGGCTTTAGGGTTGCAATCCTTTTTTGACTTGGTGACTAACCAGAATCTTGCGGCTTACGAACCAGGGGCCGCCGTTGATCAGGCTCCG